CACACACACACACACACACACACACACACACACACACACACACACACCTGCCAGGCCTCTGCTGTTACTCCCATTGCTGCCTTATTCACTAAGACCCTCCTCACTTCACTCCTGAATTACTGTGGCCTCTGCCTGGCGCTCCTTACTCCTTGTCTGAACCTGTGCGCACAGTGTATCGGAACAGTTTTCCTCACACTGAGCTTTTATCATATTAACTACTGTGCCCTGTGGTTTGTACAAAAAGTGTTACTTCGATGGCGCCAGTGTTGGTCTGTGTTCTGCTTGACTCCGGTGTTTCTGAATCCAGTGTGTTCCTCCTAGATTAGTCTTCCTCAGCTATCACTATGATATCTTTCGATTCACGAGATTGTAATAGAAGCTTTTATATACTGTTACCAGGAGTATGCACTGTGATGTCTTTCTGCGGGGCAAAGCCTTAAAATGTATATATGCTTTATTTCACCTTGACATTATGCTTTTAATCATGCCTTTGAGCATTTTAAAAATATGTATAATATAACTATTTATTGTTGCTATTTTTTAATTTTTTTTATTTTTTTTTATTTTTTGCGGTACGCGGACCTCTCACTGTCGTGGCCTCTCCCGTTGCGGAGCACAGGCTCCGGACGCGCAGGCTCAGCGGCCATGGCTCACGGGCCCAGCCGCTCCGCGGCATGTGGGATCCTCCCGGACCGGGGCACGAACCCGTGTCCCCTGCGTCGGCAGGCGGACTCTCAACCACTGCGCCACCAGGGAAGCCCTGTTGCTATTTTTAAAATAAAATTTGTTGGCATATCCTAATTGGTCCTTTGGAAGGAGGAGCGTCTATACTGGAAACACCTGGGAACCATTAAAAATGATGAATATAGAAAATACTTTTTTTCTAGTAAGCATTTAATTTTTTTTTTGATATCCCCATGGTATATCCTTTAACATCGTGGTTCTTTGTTTTGTTTTGTCTTTTTAAGATCTCTAGTAGTTTTCTGTTGTTCATCAAATTAATCCTTGCTTCCTATGCCTTGCCTGGCTTCCAGGGCCCTGCATCAACCTACTCTCAAATTGTGCAGCAACCTTATAGAAATCTCAACCACTGCAATCTGTTTTATCCCTGACTGGACTCCCACGGCCCAAACTCACTTCCAGTTGTGCTCTTGTTTATGTACTTTCCCCACTTGACTACCCTTTGTGTCTCTCTCCTCGTTCAACTCCTATCATTTTGAAAAAATAAATTTATTTATTTTATTTATTTTTGGCCGCATTGGGTCTTCGTTGCGGCTTTCTCTAGTTGCGGCTTTCTCTAGTTGCGGCTTTCTCTAGTTGCGGCTTCGTTGCGGTGCGCGGGCTCCTCATTGTGGTGGCTTCTCATCGTTGCGGCTTCTCTTGTTGCGCAGCACGGGCTCTAGGTGCGCAGGCTTCAGTAGTTGTGACACGTGGGCTCAGTAGTTGTAGCTCACAGGCTCTAGAGCACAGACTCAGTAGTTGTGGTGCACAGGCTTAGTTTCTACGTGGCATGTGGGATCTTCCCGCACCAGGGATTGAACCCGTGTCCCCTGCATTGGCAGGCGGATTCTTAACCACTGCACCACCAGGGAAGTCCCGTTTCATTTTTAAGGGTCTACTTCTTATGAATCTTGTCCTGATTTTCTCAGTCCTTCGTGGCTATATCATCCAGTTCTATGGTTCATCTCAAGTAAACAGGTGTTCTGGAAAGGAGCCTGGATTCAACAGAGGAACTAGAATGTGACTGGAGAATACCTGTGAGATGACTGTTGTTTTCTGCTGAAGGTTGATTTTTGAAGGCTATTTGGAATGGAGCCATGCACACACCGGTCCTTGCTGCTTTGTTCTTTTTCTACTTAACTGACCATCTTTGTTCTCCAGTAAAGAGCTGGCCAAGGGAGAAGTCATGTTTTCTTTTTTAGCTTCAAACAATTTTGCAAGGAAAAATTAGGTAAAGTTCAAAGATAAAGGTTTGCTCTAGAGTGCAATATTCCTTTTATTATCTTTTTCATCTGTTCCTCTGTGGATTACTTCTAGCATCCTCCTGCAAGGCACATACATGGCCTGATTACTCGAGCATTTTCTCCTCTCCCTTATGCCCAAATCTTGATCTATTGCATTCACTGGGCTTAGTCTGAGAACTGAAGAAGAGAGAACTGCATTCGTCCATTTTTGTGTTTGGATCACTAGACTATACCTCAGCCCCATTCACTGGTCCTGCTCAAACCCCTGCACAGCCCTTCTCTACCCCATACTCCATGGGTACTATATATGAATTGTCTTTTTGTAGTTCATGTGCTAACTTAAAATATTTCTATTATGAAAATTTGCAAACATACAAATAGAGAGCATAGTAAAACATGCTTCTTGAATACCCACCACACAGATTCAATTACCAACATTTTTAGTGTACTCTTTTAAAACCCAAGTTTATCTTAATATTTTGTTCTCTTACGCTATAACATCTGTCTTTCTAAAACTTGTCTTTTAGTCATGTGCTTAATAGATTGAATAGTGATCTCTTCTGTGGTATTCAGTTTCAATACTTATTCATTGTCAAAGACAGTGGTATGTGAGAGAAATTAAAATTAAACAAGCATAGCTAATATATTGATAACTTCATATGGTAACTTTGGGCACAGGTTACAATTTAATTGTAATTATCATTTCTATTCTATTAAGTTAACCCCTAAACCTGAAAACTAAATTTTCACCTATATTTTTAAAAATTAAAATATGATCGATCATGTGAGTCATTAACCCCATTCTGGTTACTTACCAGGGAGTGTTATTTCTTGTGAACGTCTCTTATTCTTCATCCGATTTCCTTTGTATATAATCTTGAAATTACTAAATACTTTCAATGTGTTCTTAGACCGTCTCATCCCTTAAGGACATAAGAGCAACAGGAATCTTCCTTATAGACATTAATACTAGTATTGAAAATTATGAACTACATTTTGTCTGTAAGAATACTTCTTAACTAAATAGGATAGCATTATGATATTAGCTTTAAACCAAGGTTAATCACTTTTATTCCACTGAATAACTCCTTGCTTTTGCACATTATAATTCACTGTTGAAATTCTTTAATTTTTTTTCCTATTTTTTTTTCTTTTTCTGCAGCTCTTGTAAATGTGAAACTCTGGGCCATTGATCGACAATGTTTTCAAACAATAATGATGAGGACAGGACTCATCAAGCATACCGAGTATATGGAATTTTTAAGAAGGTAGGATGCTTTCTTTTCTCCTTAGAGTGTTTTATTGTCTTTTCAACCTTCCTCTGAAACGCAGCCCGGGGAACACTTTTTGCCTTTATCTCAGTCTTATTAGCCTACAAATTTGTGGAAGTACAAGACTTTGCACTGGCTTCTTTCTATTTCTGCTGCCAAATTTCATGATAGGTGGTTAAGTCAGAACTTCAGAGTTTCATCCAACATCCTCTCATAGAGGAGAGCAGCATAGAGGAGAGAAGCAAGTGAGCATTTGCAGGAACAATGACAACAAAAAGGATATTGAGTCCATCTCTAACTGTTGATCAATTAATATATTTACCTCTTCTAAAGCAACCCACAGTATAAGACCGAATCATCTCTGTGTGAGGTTCTATATTAAAGATCAGATGACTAAGATGAAAAGTTCCAAGAAGAAGTTTATTATCCTTTAATCCTGAATTTAATTTCCCAAATTAAATTCATTTTATGTTGCAGTTCTGAGGTATCAAAAGCTTTTCTTTTCCTGATATTATATATTATGATAATAACTCAGTATACCATAGGAATTGGAAAAAAACGCCAGCTTTCGTTTCTTAGGAATATACTGATAGTCACTGAAATTCATTTGTCTCTAGGCTTATTTTATTTTAAAGAGTATATATTATCATTAAAAAGAATATTGACAACTTTGACTTTTTTTGAAAAAGTTATTTTGTATAATTTTTCTTTTGAAACAGAACCATCACTAAATAGTGATGTACAGAGTATGTGAGCTAAATGGGAGTGCAACACCAATTAAGAGTCCATTTTTGAGAGCTAGAATGTTAAACTGGCCTTTTTATTTTATATTTCTGGTGAAGAAATTGTTTAAATGGAGTCAAAAAATCATATTTTGTGTCAGTGATAGAAAAATCTTAATGAATATCTATTGAATTTTCTTAAAGGCAATTTTGCTGTTCCTTACTTGGGTATTTCTTTTGGTTAACTTATTGTTTCTGATTACATTTTTTATTTCCACATAATTTTTCTTTATTCCTGGTAAAAGGACAATAAAAATTCAAATATGACATCAGGTGAGACCTATTAAAAAACTTACTCTATTGTTAAGGTGTTGGTTTTTTTTACTAAAGGTGATTGAATGAAACAGAAGTGGAAATGTGAATTTCTTCTGTTTGAAGATTAGTATAGTTTGCGAGGAAATTAAATTATTCAGGTGCCATCTGTGTATGTTATATATGTATATATATGTTGATATGTGTGCTGATACATAGATGTGTGTATGTGAATGGAGACAGAAAGAGATAAGAGTGAATGTCCATTTTTAAGCCTTTATTAAAGTACAAGTTACTGATTTCTTGTGATGCAGCCCTGACAGAGAAAGATCCCAATTGGTAATCAGTGAAATGCTTGTCTGTGGGACAGAGTTAACTGTTTGTCTCACATACCTAAGAGCTGGGTATTTATGATGCTGGTTTCAGCTTCCATAAGTTAGTTTTCATAAGGAAATGGAATGAGTGCCAATGCTGTCTTTCATGGCTCCAACAAAAACTCTTTATTAGAGGCACAATTTCAGGAAATTGTACATGTCTGTGTGTGTGTGTGTGTGTAATTGATCCTGGATATACTTTTATTTTTGTATTCTCAGAGATGCCCAAATTTATCATCTATTTTGACAATTCAAACCTTAAACAATAAAAGTTGGTTCTCTTAGATTGCGTAAACATTTCTTGTTGGTCAGCTTAGAGCAAGTGGAGTTGAACTGATTTACTAAAAGAGACAGGCACTGACTCTGATGTCACTCTTCATCTGGCCACTCTGTAAAACATCAGGTCCACATCATTTGTGTATATAGTAGTGGGCTGGGAGTCCAGAAAGGTGACAAATGACCACTGTTGCCTGGGGCCAGCTTTAATCTTCCTAAATTATTACTGTGACCAACTGGTTCTCTTTCTACAATGCTCATAGTTCCTGTTGAATTAGTTACAGCATCATTAGCTCAGTATTCAAGGTCCTCCAACAGCCAATGGCAGCCTGCTTTTTCAGCCAGATTTCTTCTCGCCCCAGGCAAACCAAATGATTCCATGTGCCCAAGCAGACCTTGTGCTTTTATGTAGCACACTGCCTCTGTTGCCTTTTCCCCCACTGTCAATGTTTAAGTCTCTCTCTTCTTTTTATATTCAACTAAAAGCTGCCCTTTCCACAGATACTGATGGTTCTACTGGGAAGCAATCTCTCTCTTCTCTGGAGCTTCATTTCTACCATGTGTGTTATTTTCTACTTTATTATAATCTCACTGCTAAACTTATCTCTACTTTTAAACTACAGACTTTTCGGGACTAGAGCTATTTCTTAAGCATCTTGGTATTCTTCTTTGGCACACAGCTTACCACTTTGTAGACAGGCAGTTTACAGGACAGTAAGTGTGGGATGAGTACGTAATTTGAAGGGCCCACTGGAAAATAAAATTCAGGACTCCTTTTGCAAAAATTGTGAAAAATTTCAAGGCACTGGTGGCATAGTATGAAACCAAGTATAGGGATCTTCTAATCTTGGGCCCTGTGCTATTATACTTGTGAAACTAAGAGTGAGTAATCATTCCTCCTTCACTTTCCCAGGTTAATACTTTCTGCCATTTATTTTGCAAGGCTGTTGGAATGACATAATATTCCCCAAGGAAATGTAGATCTTGTCAAAAACTAAGATGACCAAAATTAAACTTTTCTACCATAACTTCAGAATTTTTTATTTCCCTGTTTATTGTTGATTTTAAAATTCTGCTTACCACTCTTACATTACGTAAAAGCTTTAAAAGTTTATATAGTTAAGTCAGCCAACTTTTTACTTTATGGTTTCATGTTTAGAAAGACTTACTTTATCATAAAAACATAGACTTAATACTTAAATCCTCTGTAGCAGCCTGTGTGTGTGCACGTGCGCTTGTGTGTATGCGCATGGCGGGGTGTTTTTCTCTAATATGCTTGCTAAAAACTTTCATCTGAATTCTTCTACTATAGATACATATACTTCATAGTTTGTTAAGGATTTAAGCAATGTGACACAATCAGAAAAATTAAAACTCTAGCAGATGGTATTAGAAATCATCAGAATTCTTCACAGTGAGGGTCTCTGGTACATTGGAATGCCTTCCTAATGGAGGACTTTCAAGGGCAGGGACAGGCTAAAAGAGGAGTGATTCTGTATCACTGCTCATCTCCCCATACCACACTTCACTTTTCTAAATAAGCAGTAAATTTGGAGGGTGAGAAAAGGAGGGGACACATCAGACATGTAAATGCACAGACAAAATGCAAGGATTTTTCTCATCAAAGTCGGTTTTTTTCATTCCAGTGTGTTTACTCATTTTGTAACCACCAGTCATGTGGTCTGGCCTCCTCTTTGCTATTAAACGCCACATCAGACCGTGATTCTGGTCTTTAATCCTATTTAGTTGTTTCTCTTTTGTGCTTAAATTTCACATTCCCTGATGTAAACACATGTTCCTATGCAAGCATAGCAAAACCAAAAAATATTCAAGGGGCAGTGCTGCTAAGCAAGGTACGATTGCTATAGGTCCAGTAGCGATTTTGTGAGATGCATTTTTTATCTTCTTTGGCTACTGAAAAATGCTGTTTTGCAGATGGATTCTGAAAAATAACTGCTAGAGTTAACTGCCAGAGTTAATTTGTGTTGCTTTTTTTCTGAGCATATTCTCTGTGCTACTGTTGGCACAGACATCTATAGCCAGAGGAGCATTAGAATGCAGTTGTGTGACCACTGGGATATGCTTGAAGGAACTGGGTTTTCTGTTGGCCCCGAACTATGATGCTGCTGAACCTCTATTTATCTTAATGCCTCCCTGACAAATCAGAGACACAGCAGGGACTGTTTGGAATTTAAGCTACTCAATCAAGCCTGTCGACCCACAAAAAAACCTTTTCTTGATCCACTAAAGAATCTTTTGGTAAGGCAGATATGCTCGCATCATCATTCTGCATAAAACCTTTCCATGACTACTACTCCCTCCTAAGATAAAGTACGGCTTTCGCACTGTCGTCAAAGCCCTGCTTCCTCTGGCTACTGCTGACCTCCCTAGGTTCATCTCACTCTCCATCTTCTCCTTCCTTGTCTTCTCATTCCCTCTATGCTCTAGTCCCCTGGTGAGCCTTCATTTCCTTATATGCTGTGTTCCCTCGCAATGGAGATCCTCCTAAGAGACTCCTCTCCCTTTGAATGGATGCATTTTCTAGGGTGATCTATGGTGTAGCACCCTGGAAATGGTGTGCCATTATGGCAGAAAAAAGAATCTGGTCTCAAACAATTACAGATTTCTGATTTACCTTCCTTAGGTTGAAAGAGAAATTAATAGTATTAGCCACCAAGTTTCATGTTGTATTTTCAATAAATAGCATTTTAAAGTTTAGGGGTTTTGAAGTTCTTTACCTATTTGATTCTCAGCTGACTCTCCAACCATTAAGGTAATTTTCAGTTTTGGGTTTTTTTTTGTTTTTGTTTTGTTCTGTTTTTGTGGTACGTGGGCCTCTCACTGTTGTGGCCTCTCCCGTTGCGGAGCATAGGCTCCGGACGCGCAGGCCCAGCGGCCATGGCTCACTGGCCCAGCCGCTCTGCGGCATGTGGGATCTTCCCGGACCTGGGCACGAACCCGTGTCCCCTGCATCGCAGGCAGACTCTCAACCACTGCGCCACCAGGGGAGCCCAGTTTTCAGTGTTAAAACTAGCAGTCATGTGGTTTGGCCCTCTTTGGGCAGAAGAGTGGATCTTCTTCAGGGATCTCTGATCAGATCCCTGGAAGCTAATTTATAACAAAGCCCAAAGCTAATGGCTCCCTATGAGGGCCGTAGCAGCATCCACATACAAGGTGTCCAGATGAGGAGTGGGCCTTTGGCAAATCATAGAACTACTCTGTTGATTAATCCTTCTGCCCCAGTTTGCTCATTGAGAGCCCTGGTATACATTTTGATGCTGTGTAAAGGTTCCTTATTCCGTATGTCCATTCC